AGAAAGAGAGGCAGCTCAGAAAGCCATTGAAGAAGCAAACACCCAAGAGACTACAAAACAGCAATTACAGGTCAAAGAAGCACCTCTTATTATTATTCAATATAAGCAGTTGCTGTTGTTGTGGAGACTGCAAATCATGAACACTATTCTAATTTTTGCAGGCTTTGCTCGAAGCATATAAGCAGAGAGCAGAGAAGACAAAGCAACCTTATACCCATGCTCAGCCTGAAAATGATGAACTAACTAAAAGGCTTAATGAGGAAGAGAAGAAAGCAAAACTTGCTCCAGCCAAAAATGGTGAACTAACCAAAAAACTTGAAGAAGAAGAGAAGAAAGCAAAACAGCTTCAGGACTCTGTGCACAGGTTTGTCGCTGATACCATGATAGACAACCAAATTCCAGGAATCCCTAAAAATAAAATTTTCCATTCTAAATCATAGTTCTCCTATCCTCATCATGTGTCTCTGTTCTCAATTGGTAGCTATCTGGACAGTTTCAACTAAAAGTTAGGGCTTGAAATGCCATGGTGAATCTTCTGGTGCCAAAATTTAAGTGGCAGCTTTTAGCAGTGAGCACTTCTTCTTGAAAGCAAGTTTTTCAACCCACAGGTTAACCATAACAAAAAATCATCTGCAGCCTGCCCCAAGTTAGATAGGAAACATGTTTTTTTTTTTTTTTATCTTGGTTGCACAATGGGAGGCAACCCTCTCCCATCCCTTTCCCACCTCACCCGCATGGCATGTGACTTGAACTTAAGACCTCTTGTTTGCAGTGGAAGAAGCTTATCACTAAGCTAGTTAGGTCGTTGGTAGATAGGAAACATGTTGCAATAAGGACACATTTAAAATTTTACTGATTCTAAACATCACACACATTATCTAAAGGCTTTCTGAAGTTTATGAATAGAGATACACCACAACAGATATGTGGGTTATTTGTGATTTTTTTTTCTTTATCTGAGGTCACAGCCTTGAAGAGATGCTCTCCAAGTTGGAAACCGAGAATCAAAAACTCCGTCAACAAATCATTCAGGTATAGTAGCATTACAAGTCGTCCAATAAAAGTCGTCATATATTTGATCTTGGATGCTTAATAAGTTGAGAGGAATCTTGAAACTGCAGATTTGGAATGTTATATTTGTTCATTGCTTACAGGTGCCTGGTTTTGTAAAATTTATTATGGATGTGATCTTGGCCTCAACTCGGAAAATCTTAGGGTCAAGGGAAGAAGAAAATTGAAGAACAAAAATTAATTGCAAAGAAAAAATTTCAAGGACAAGGTTCCCAGGAAGGAAACCTCATTAAGATTTGTATTTAATTATTCTACTCTTTCCTGTTTTTATTATGACCACTTTCAATAAAATTCCAGAATTATTCAGATAATAATATATTTATTTGGTTCTATAAACATGCATAAATCAAATTTAAAAAAAAAAAAAAAAGCAGAGTAAAATTAAATCAAACAAAAGACTGAGGAAGGATCCATGGAAAATTTTCATCCGAATGCAGAGAGATCGCGACTAACCTCTTTAGAATGTGAAGAGTTTAATTCCTGCAGAGAATTTCCGAACCAGCAGCTTTTAAAGAAAAAAGCCTCCAAGGTATCCACAAGAGCAGGCATGAACAGGAACAGCCCCGAAAACCTCACCAAGTTCGGCAATTGGGAGGAGAAGATCTTGGCCACCAGTTGAGTGGTAGCTCTGGGAATTGGTTTGAGGGAAACGGGAGAAATTCCACAGCGTAAACTCATCCCTTCCCTTCACTGCACTTTTCCAGTTCCTTTGAAGCCAAACATTCCTAAAGAGTGAAAGCAGCTTTCCTCTTTCTTTTTCTTTTCTTTTTTTTTTTTTTCCGAAATACATTGTTAAGGCATACAACTTAACCATATTAACAGATAAAGCTCCCAAACTAAAATAAATAAGCAAATAAGCCCTTTGTTAACGCCCACTGTTTGCCTCCGTGTAATTTTTGCCGAGCTAGAAAGTATAATTTTGCCGTTTGTTTCTTTCATATGGAAAATGGATTTGTTAATTTGTATGGTGCCAAACAGCCCAAAAAATGAAATTTCTATTTAGTCTATAAAATTTGCAAATTCTCAAAGAAACTAAGCTCAAAATTTAAACTCATTTGTTGAACACTTAAATTAAAAGAAAAGAAATAAAAAGTATTAAAACTAAAATCCAAAGCTTTTTCAATATTGTTCTGATAAGTAGAGTATGGGGTTAGTGGATGTAGCTAAAAAGCAATTTATTTTCAAGTAAATTCTTCTTCCACAACTTTGAAAATAGATGTTGGATGAAAATTTTGAATTTAATTTTCAAAGTGATTTACAAATAAATTTTTAAAAAGTTATTTTTAAGTTTCACTAACTAGATTCTAGAACCTTTAATGTTTCCAATTTGAGCAATAGTCAAAACTCTATTTGATCAATTTTTCGCTCAAAGTTTGACTTTTCCAAGCCTGAGTTTTTTTAATTGAAGCCAAGCAATGGCAATTTGGTTTGAATTAGTGACACTATTTCACTAAATAAAAACATTTTATTAGATGCTTAATCCATACTCTTTTCATTTTAAAATGATAGAAGCTTTTAATTTTATTTTTAAATTAAGGATTTGAGAACAAAATTTATTTTTACCTATATTAACCAAAAATAAAAATAAAAATAATAAGACTTAAATTATAATAAAAAATAATTAAAGTAAATATATAATAATAAGATTAATGTAAGAAAAAAATGTTTGTTTCTTTTAAAATAAAAAAATATTATTTTAAAATAAATTCTAAATAAATAAATAAACAAAGAGCAACATATTGAAAATAAATGATTTTACTAAACAATCATTTATAACAATTTGGTTAAAACCTTTAACCATTAATTTTAGACCATTGTACCAAATAAGTTTCAAATAAAACTTTAACTTAAGTAGAATGAATAGATTTAAGGTTTCATTTGATATTGATATTCTATTCTAATTGGCGAAGCTAATCTAAGGCCTTTTGGACAATGACAATTTTTTTTGTCCTCTTTGACATTTGTAATTGTAAGTCAAATTTAGAGTTTAGTTGTTTGATTTTTTTCTTTTTGTAGCATTGCTCATGCCCTCGTGACATAAAATCTTGCCTCAACACTAGTATTTTGCTTAGTTCATAGTTCATTACTTGAGCGTAATCAACATAATTTACTTGTGCCAACAATTTAAATAATTTAATAATTTTTTAAATAGAAATAAGAGATTGTGCATGTAAAAAAATGAGAGTTTGCTTTTTATTATGTAACAATTTTTTTTTAAAACAAATTATATATATGAATAAAACATTTACTATTAATTTTTAATTGTGTTTCATTAAATTTACTAAGTTTATTTACATTTGTATGTTTTTCTTCAAATTCACTCTAAAAATAAAAATATGAAATTATATTTTTTATTACTAAAATTTTTTACAATAATATAGTTAGAATATCACGTAAAATTGTTAACTTATAATTATAATATGTTATTAAATGAATAGCTATTTACAAAATTATTAGTAGGCTTTTGAATGAAAAGAATTAATTATATATAATGACATATAATGATTGTAAGTTTACAATAACACACATGGCATTGCAACTTATTAGTTTTGTAAAATTTTACATAATTTTTTTAGAGGTTTTTCCCACATATGCCATTAAAGAACAAATTAAGAATGTATTAATTGAATCATTTTGCAATTAATTTGTTTGAAAATAAATAAATAATTTTAACTTTATTAACTATCTAATTAAAAATACTCATATGACACATGACATTGCTCATAAAAATAAAGTTAACATTTGTGATTTTATATAAAAATAAAATATAAAAAAGTGAATTAATACACCCTTATAGTTTCCATTAAAAAAATGCATATGGTATTTTTTTTTTTTTTGAACGTTGAGATGGAATTCGAATCCTACACCTCCAAACTTACATGAAAAATCCCTAATAAGAGGATGGTGGCCACTAGACCACTATAATGTTCTCATGTTTATAGTATTTTTGGTTTGAGAAATAAAAAAGATGGAAGGGAAGGACTAGTTTCTGTACCAATCAAATATTACTTGTAAACCTAAGGAATTGTGACTTAGTTGATAAGGGGATTTGCTTTTCACTTTATTGATGAATGTTCAATTTTTTAAAGAGGATAATAAAAAGATAATTTTTCATGAATTCTTTAGTTCGATGTCAATGATTTACTTTTGATTGAATTGAAAAGAAATTAATCCCAAAATGTACAAAAATTAACTCAAACACTTGACCACTAATAAAAAAAAAATCAAAATTACAATGATTAAAAAAACTTCATCGTTATCCTTTCCTTTCCTTAAACCAAATGTACCTTGTTTTTTAATTATTAGTATTATTTGCCTTAAAACCACATTTACCCATAACCTGAGATAAACCCTTACTTTAAACTTTTGGTTTTTTGGCCGAAACCATTTTTTCGGGGGGCTTAGGTCAGAAAAATACTTAATCGGACTAAAATGACTAAATTCAAGATTTTAGGGCCAATTTTGGCTGTTGTCCCTTAAATGGCGGTGCATCTAACAAACGCCGCCGCAGAGGTTTTTAACAGCTCCATTTTGATACTAAAATAAAATCATCTATAAATACCACAGCGGTGAACTAAAACCCTAAACCCTTAAAGCCGAACTGAGCGAGGGCAGAAGAGAAAGACAACACAGCGAAGCAGAAACCTTACACCTTCATACTTTTAGTTTTATTTAATCATCATATACTGTTTTTGATATATTATATACTCTTCGATTCAAGTTTTCCATGGCCATGGATGGAAGTTTCAATCTTCAATTTTCACTTCAACGGTTTCTAGCTCGTTGCACAGCACTCCGGGACGTACAGAAGTTCGATAATCTGCTGGAAAAGGTACTCTAATTTCATCTCCGATTTTATACTGTTTGTTTTGTTGAGTTTTGGCTCTGGGGCTGGATTTATAGACATTAATTTTCATACAATGAATTTGGCTTGGGCAGGGTGACACAATGACAGAACAAGAAGTGGTGAGTTCTGTGGCAGAGTTGTTCCTGCACCCAAAATATACAATTCCGTTGGTGGGATGTTTTCGCCCAATAGTAAAAAAGATTGTGGACAAAACTGTAGCTTTACTTCGGTTTGAGGCAGAAAAGCTGAGGTCAAATTCAAATGATACTGTGTCGGGGTATCTTTATGATGAGAAAGTTTATAATGTTATTGACTTTCATATTCAACATGGGATTTGTTTGAATCTTCATGAGCTTGCTTGCCTGGCCTTCTGTCGTGCCCTTGATTTGGCTCCTTTTCTTCTGGGGTATGTATGTTGTTCTCTATTTTGAATTACAATTATGAGAAAATTTGTATCAAGGGCCTTTTGTCTAGTTCTGTGGCTTGCTGAGTCAGTGTACATGGTATTTCTCTGGCTTAACTCTGGTGTGGAAAGCATGCAGTTCATTGGTTGACATCTAGATTCATTGCATCTATATATGTGACCTTGTGTTCAATGCTTCTCTGAATCTAATATGGAGATGAAATATGTTCTTAATGTAGTGGTCATTACTGGAGGATGCATTGTGAATGAGTTGAAAGCTGTTAAAGCAATAATTAAATTCCAATTTAACCTGATGAACTTATTATATTGATAATTGTTTGCTTTGTAATTTGGAACAGGTCTGTATTAATTTATTTTGAATTTGCACCACCTCCATTCCAGCGGATTTTGGGGAAAGAAATACTATCGAACATGGTTATTGACAGCAAAATGCTTTCTATTGAGGTACATATGATGTTTCTTAGTTCCTGGGAAGGGCTTAAGGGTTTGAATTTATTTTATTTCATCTGTCTTTCGAAATTAGACACATATCATCCCTACCATCCCACTCATGCACACTAGAACACATACACACACACTTGCACTTATTAGACTGAAAGTGTTAGCTAAATTACACACATATGCTTGCACATCTTCGACTGAATGTGTGTGCAGTTATGTCGTAGGATTGTATTGTCCCTTGGTAAAGTTGAATTGTTCTTGTTAGACAACATGATGGGGAAGACTCTTTAAGTAGAATCATACCCGATGTATGTTTGCATCTTAAACTAATGTCTATATATGTTGAAGAGGGTATTATTAAAGTAAAATTGCATTAAATGGATGGTGAATTAATATTATTTTGTAAGCTTTGTTAGGTATGTGTTTATTTTATATCTTTCACAAATGAACAATATTTTTCTCTATTCTGTTCACTATATATTTTATGTTTCTATGCAGGTTCTTAATTGTTACTTACATGCTGTGCGCACATCATACCGCCTTCTGCTTTTGGAGTCTGAGATTTTTGCCAAATTTTGGAATTGGTCCTGTTTCTTGGACATCATAAGGGAGTTTATAAATATCAATTTAGGTGGGACCATTGAGTTCAGAAAGGTTATTGCTGATATAACATGGTGCGGGATACACATCTTGTCTGCTGTTTTGAAAATGAGTGATGGAGCAACTAGGAATTTTTGTGTTAGGCCTGAAGAGGCACAATCATGTTTATTGCGGTTAGTTTTACTCTTGAACAGATTGATTTTTTAAGATGTAAAATCTTTGATTGATTTGTTTTATGTACAATACTTTTCTTGCTTCTACATTTTTCAGCTGGGAGGAGTTCTGTATGGATGTAGCAATTGAGAAAGCTGGTGCATATGCTGGATCATCTGAGCAGATTGAGTTGCATTCTGGAAGTGGAGACCATGAATTCTATCATGATAAAGGGCTTTCATCTTTTGACCTTAGCTCTTATATATCATCAGAGATTTATGTCACCAAGCCACCTATGAAGAGTCGGAGGATTACAGAATGGTATGCATATTATGTGC